ACGCATACTTAATCGTGTCGCGATAGCAAAAAAATTATAGGTGCGTATTTCTTTATTAATGGATAATTTTTCATTAAGAATTGATTTTCTTGAAACCAGTGCCAAAAGTTTTCTAATTTTTTGATGATTACGAAAAAAGAAAATAAAATGGAAGAAAATAAAAGAGAGTTAATAATGGTGGGTCAACGGAGGGTGAAAACGCGTGAGACAGAAGCAAAAATAAAATTTAAAAACTTTAATATAACACTTTTGAAACATTTGACAATATGCTAATCTGCATCCATTATATTATCTATTATTTTTTATTTAAAAAAAAAGAATTCGAAGAAATGTAGATTAGAGTTTGAGGAGAAAGAATATCAAAGGTGCTCCTAATTAATGAGTGAGTTTGGGGAGAGGGGAATAGATTTTGAGCCCGCGCAAAGCGCGGGCGAAAAATCTAGTATACCGAGAAAGTGCAACAAAAAAGGAGGATGTTGCGGTAAAAAATATACTAAGAATAGCATATCTTGCGTCGAAAAAAAATGCATCGAGGAAAATAATGCATTTTTTTTATCAAACCGACTCATCCACCGGAATCGTTGACGCAATTTTTTCCACCCGAGACCCCCCGCTCTAGCCTAGACTTCTTTATATCGAAAAGAATGCAACAAAAGGAGGATATTGTGATACAAATATAATAATAATATTTTTTACATCCAGGAAACAATGTATTTTATCACACCGACTCATTCGCCGGAATCTTCGACGCATTTTTTTCCCACCCGAGACCCCGCCGCCGCACCTATCCGCGCCGAGAAAGCGCGACAAAGGGTGGATATCGCGGTAAAAAAAAAATGTAACAAGAACGGCGTTTTTTTGCGTCGAAGAAAAAATACATCGTGAAAAAAAATAATGCATTTTTTTATCGGACCGACTGATGTGGCTGGCGGATGCGCCGGAATCTTCGACGCATTTTTTTTCACGCCCAAGACCCCCACCGCCACCTATCAACGAGCGTCCTCGCGTAAACGTTCGCATCTGGAGCGCTCGTCGAGATCGCGCTCGTCGAGATCGCGCTCAAACCGCAACGCGCCGTCATCGCAGTTCCGCCGTCTCTCTCTCTCGCTCTCGACGATGCGGCTCGCGCGCGTAATCGCGTTAACCGCGTGTTTTGTCGCCGCGAGGTGCATCAATTCCACAATTACGGACGAAAATTACGCGCTCACGTTCGATTACCTGCAGAAATACGGATATCTGTCCAAAGACGTAGACGCGGTTCCGGCTCAGAGATGAAACGACGTTCGCAAAGCCTTCGAGGATTTTCAGAATTATTACGATTTACCCGGCGACGGAACGCCCAACAACGAAACGCTGCAATTGATGAGTAAACCGCGATGCGGTTTCCGAGATATCCTGAAGCACGAAACGAAAGCGAGCCTGTCCAAATGGCCAAAGACGCACCTGACGTGGCATTTTCACTTAGCCGACGAGACCGAGCTGAACACGGCGCGGGCCGCGTTCGACCTGTGGTCGCAGCATTCGGCATTGACGTTTGAACGCTCCGAATCGCCGAATGCCGACATTATAATATCTTGGCGACGCCTACGTCACTATAACACGAATACCAAGGTAAACGGAGCAATTTGCTCGGACAAATTCGACGGCCCCGGCAACGTGCTCGCCCACGCGTCTTTCCCGACGGACCAAGCGGGGTTCGTCTCCGAGGTGCACGTCGATGGGGACGAGCCATGGCACATTTACGTCAATAAACATCCCGCGGATAGGTTCTCCCTGCATTACACGCTGACGCACGAGATCGGCCACTCTCTTGGATTGATGCACAACAGGCGCAAAACATCGGTGATGTTCGCGATACAGCCAGACCAGCAGTATCCGGTGAAGCTCGACCAAAACGACATCGCCGACATTCAACGTTTGTACGGTGAAAAAAGTACGAACGAGCCGCCGCGTCGGACGCCGGCGCACAGTGGGGCCAAATCTCGAAAAGCTGGCCAAAACCTCAAATGAACTTAGAATCGAGCAAAAATTGGTATACTATGGTTTTCGAGGTTGCTGATTACAAATCCAAAGTTAAAATTATTGTGTACAAAATGGCGGATCCAATATGGCGGTCACACATGTAAAAAAGATATCAGACTTTAATAAAAATTAGTATACAAGAGTTTTCAAGGTCGCTGATTACACATCCAAAGTTAAAATTATTGTGAACAAAATGGCGGATCCAATATGGCGGTCACACATGTGAAAAAGATATCAGACTTTAATGAAAATTAGTATACAGGGGTTTTTGAGGTCGCTGATTACAAATCCCAAGCCAAAATTACAGTAAACATAATGGCATCTAATATGGTGAACGCATGTGTGAAAAATATGTAAATTTTTTTAATAAAGAAAAAATTATAGGCTCGATACTAGCACAACTAAGCAAATATATATATGTATATAAAATAATGTTAAAACGATAGTGGTCAAAAGATAAAACATGATTTAAAAACATTACTGGAGATAATTAATCGGAATCCACGTCAGAATCAGAATTAAGTCCACGTCAGAATCGGAATCAAATCTACGTCAGAATCAACTTCCGAATCGTAGATCCAAATCGTGTCAATCATAGAGCTATATTCCGTTTCGGTTGCAACAGTCACTGTAAGAAAGACACAATTATATTTAGTTTAAATTAATACGTTAAAGAATAAAATTTATTTATTTGACAAAAAATATTACTAAGGATAATTAATCGGAATCACTGTCAGAGTAGGAATCCACCTCAGATTCAGAATCAACTTCCGAATCGGTGTCAAGCGTAGTTCCAGATTCGGTTCCGGTTGCAACAGTAGGTGAGAGTAATAGCTCTACAGCTTCCCTTGATAAACTTTTTAGTTTCTTCTGTGGCAGCTTTCTGATGCTGGAGATGTATGGATCAGAAGTTACCATGAGCCGATTAAAAATATCTTCCATTGTTTTGGCTCTTGAACACTTTCGTGAGAAGTCTTCACGATATCTTTTGATATCTTTGTTTCGAGCTTCTTGAGCATCTTCAGATAACTGGCCGATTGGTAATAATGCATGAGCTATTATTTGTGGACCATGAATTAATAGCTTATGCACTGTAGTAGGCATATAATACCACGGATATAGTTCGACAAATTTTTTTGCAGTTTCAACCGCATATTCTTGAAATTTGTCACAATTTATCTCGTGGCCACTGGAAATAACTTGTAGAATTACATGGAAGCGTTTGATTAAACCTTCGTCCAATCCTGTTATCGAAGCAGACTCAGCCGAGTTTTCAAAAAAGCGCCGAGCTGTATTCCCATCATTGGTGCTTCCGTATCCTGGTTTTGGACGATCGATGTTTAGCCCCAATTTTAAACGAAATCCCTTTTGAATTTTTCTCTTGCAGTCTTCTGTCATCTGCTTCTCTTTCGTACAACGCACTTGCCATTTTTTAATATCGACTCTGTAGGACAAATGCAAACAGCATTCGAAAAAACGTATCCACGCATGCAATGTCGACAACCCAAACTTTATGTTATTTTCATCGACCTTTTTTGTAACATAGCATCAATGTTATTAAAATCTTTACTTGTAGCTCCACACAAATAGCAACGTTGCGCAGATTTTGTAGATGTCAATGCGTTGCACACTTTACCATCGATCATTGTAAATGCCATGTTGTACACAATCGAAATTTCCTTTCCATCTATGACAGTTTCAAAAGGAACAAGTGCTTTAATCTGTTCTTCGATGTATTGCGCTTCGTTGACTGTCGACTCTATGTCTTCGTGCAGAAACTGTAGTCTTAACGGTCTGCAAAATCGAGGAGATGAAGGCCTAGGATTTTTCCAAATTATGATTTGTGCCTTCGATTCGTGATCGACAGACATGAGTTGTAATGGCACAAGTGAAGTAAGAAACACATTCGCATCTGATTTGCTGTCGTCAATAAATGTCTGTTTGTACTTACTTTGTCCGGAGCTTCCATCACAACCCCACTTACAAATAAAGTCCATATTATTTACATTTCTTTGCGTCAAACTTCGAATTACGTCATTTTGAAGGAATAAAATACGCTCGACTGTATGGTCCAATAAAGCTTGTAAACGGACTTCTGCGCTACTCTCTGTAATAGTAACAGCCGTACAAAGTGGATAACAACGTTTTTTTGCTTGTATCACTTTTTTGTAAGGAGGATACAATTTACAATTATTTTCTTTGCTCACTGATCTTAGTCCTTGATACTGACTTTTGGATAATTTGCATTCTACCAAAACGGAAAGTGCAGCATCATCAGATAATGTACTTTCTGTTGTTGATTGGAAAGCTTTTCGGTACCGTAAAGCTCTCGTTGGACTCGTCAGTGCTGCTTCCTTCACAAGTTTCGAAGCGTGTAACTGTCCTGCAGATCGTAAACTCATTTGAGTGGCATATGCTAATTCGCTTGAGGTCGATGTTAAACGAATTCTTTCGGTCTTCCTTCGTTTTGATCTTTCACTGCAAGACACAAACTCCGAGGAAGGGCGACCGTTTTTCTTGGTCGGTGTCTTTTGAAAAATAACAGGTAATGGAAAGAATACGGGTTTACTAAGCTATTTCTCGTAGTTTTTGAAAAAGATCCCCTCTGTCCTATTGACCTTTTGCCACATGGTTCTCATTTTACAGAATAATATGGAAAAGGACGCTCTCATATCTTCACGTACCTGTACGGAATGTCCACTCTTTTCGAAAATTTTTCTTTCCAGGTGTTCTATTATAATATTTAATTCGTCTTTCAAATAATTTCTGACGATTATAAAAACTTCCTTTCGAGTATATTGTAATAATTGTTGATTACTAGATCCTGTAATAAAAGCGTACAAAATTTAAAAAACTGATTTGCATATGAAAACTTAGAACATTAAAATAAACCGAAATAAAATAAAAATGAAGTAACTGTAAATATATAGATTTAAAAGTTTTGGATAATAGAGCGCGATTTATCGAAAACACTAATCGACGTAAACATCGATCCGGGATATGTATATTGTATGATTTGTTATTATTAGGGATAGAATTACCGAAAGAACAAAAGGACATAAGCATTTTTAAGCCGAGTCATTGTCCTGAAGCGAAACAATCGACAAGTCGCAAACGAGCAACGTACGTAGCGATAATAAGCGAAAAAATCATTACAGCATGATAGGCAGCTCTCGGCAGCTAATTTTTGTGAATTTCGCAAGATAATAAAGTGAACTAAAGCCCTAAACTTGGATCTTCGCGGAATATAGCGGAATATATAACTTTCCATCCAGTTGAAAATAGAAGTTTATAAAATTATATTGTCTTCGTAAGACAGAATTATGCCTTGTTTCAACACGATAAAAATTAAATTTATAGGTTCTATTAGTGTAAAAACATTTTCTACATACCTGCAGGAGTTATTTCCATGTCGTAGAATTAAAATCGAACACTTCACTTTCAAGCTATCCGATATATAATATACCGTAATTTTCTTTCCTTTGTTACGCGATGCGTGCGCTCTGAACGAAGGCTAACTTTGAACTGAACTCACAGACGCAGGTATGAGGATAGGGCCTTTTCCTTTTACAATTGGATGCACCAAACATCCTTCTACCCATCCCACCAGTCAAAATTCCCCGAATCAAATTTTCATTTTTTAGGTTTTGGCCAGCTTTTCGAGATTTGGCCCCTCTGTGCGGCGCCGCCGCCGCCGCCGCCGCCATCGCCGGACCTGTGCAGTCTCGATCGCGTGAACGGGATATTAATTTTGGAAAATCGAATGTACATCTCGTACAAACGTTACGTTTGGTCGATCGATCTGGACGGTAGGACGTACAACGGACCTTTAGCCCTTTCGAATCACATGAGCTTTCTTCACGACAATTACACGCGCGTGACCGCCGCCTATCAATCCCCGTCCGGCGATCTCGTGGTGTTCGTAGATAACTTGGTATACTTGGTTCAATATCCGGAATTTAGTCTGCGGCCAGGTTGGCCGAAGACCCGGCAAGAACTCAAATTTCCCGAAAACACGTTGGTCAACGGAGCGGTGAACACCCACAGAGGACGCTCCTTTGTGGTGTTCAACGGTAACGCGGTGGGCGAGATAAGCGAATGCGACAAGGACAAGAGAGTCGCCAAATTTACGCCCCTCGAGGCGACGTCTCCCGGAATACCGACCGGCGTGACGTCGATCTTCCGCTACGTCGACGGCAATCTGTACTTCACCACTCGGGCGCAGTTCTACAAATTCAACGAATTTACGAGGACCGTCTCGTTGGCCGCTAAATTCAATCTGCGGATGCTAAATATCGTCTGCCCTAGAGCCGAACTGTTGCAGCAGTTGCGCGATCTCCTCGATCGAATCGTACGCCTCAACGATAACTCGTTAACGTCAGCGGCGAGCGATTATTCGAACGATGACGACACCGGGGTTTGGCTCTCCGATCTCCGCATCCGCCGAAGGAAGTAGAGGACCGCGCAAATTTCCCACACCACGCCACGCGCGACATAAGTCAGATCTTTCCTACTTATACCGACGTGTCCCCCCCAAGGCATCAGTGTCGCGTCGTCGGCCGAATACGACGCGTCGGAAAAAAATCAGAAACGAACGGTTACCGCGGCGCGCAGCGCGAAATGTTCTCGACGTTGGCCGATCGACTCGCGCCGAGAAGTATTTCCCCTCCGGAGACGGCGGATTTAGAGGCGAACGACAACGGCAATAAAATGCGAAAGATCAGTTTGATGGACGATCGTCATTATCGTCCTCATCGCCAGGAGTCGCGTCGCAGCTCTCATCCTCCCACCGACGCGCCCGTCGAGGACGATCGTCATTATCGTCGTCATCGTCAGGAGTTTCGTTCCAACTTTCGCCCTCGCACCGACCAGCCCGTCGAATTGCCCCCTGTGCGCGTCCTGACGACGCGTTATCTGCTGACGACGACTGGCTACAAGTACATAGCCATAGGTATCGCGATCAAGTCGCCGTGGTACAGCACAAACAC